GGAAATGGGGCCAAATGCACATACAAACATGTAATGCCATACACGATCCAATTCTAAGCATCAAAAAGGCAACTTTTAAGCATACTAAAAGGGAGGACAATCATGGACTAATGAGGCATGCATACTGAAGCTCTGAAAATCATGTTATAAAAGGTGCCAAAACCAAGTGAACAAGACAAAGCCAAGCAAGCATGCACTAAGGTCCAAGGGGCCCTAAAGGCTCGCCAAAGGGGTATTGAACTACAACTTCACAAACCAAATTATGACATGATTTGAACAACCAAAAATCAAAGTTTTAAGTAAGTTAAAACAAAGCCAAAAACAACATCGATATGGCATCCCTAGAAGGCCTAACATGATGGCATACGCAATTGGCAATATTCCATGGAGCATGAAACAACAAACTTCAAGGCCTTTAAGGAAACATCAAATACAAGCATAGGAAGCATCCACAAGGACGAATGACAATGGTGGTTCAAAACCAACTTAACAAGCAAGTAAAGCAGTGCTCAAGCACTCAACACACCCAAGGCAGCAAGCCGAAAATGCAAGGTGGCTATACAAGGCATGTCATGGATGGCCAGCAAAGAACAGCCACAACAGACCTGAGGCATTCTAAAACATGCATAGAGCTTCACAAGCTAAAGGCCAAAACAAGTATACATAGTGGTCTAAAAATGCTGCACATGTCTAAGGCAAATTTATAGCATTACAAGATCAGAGTTATGCAAAGCAAGCAATGGTGTGTCCAAACCAGTTAAAACAGAATGGTAAAACATGGCAAAATACTACCAAAATACCCACTAAGATATGGCCAACATGGTTTACCAAAGATGCTCACCATGGAAGGCTAAAATAGTCAATATCGAAGGCAACAAGGAGAGGGATGGGCCGCTTCTCCTTCTTAAGGAGCTTAAAGCACCATCCCCAAACAACTGAAATCCCTCAAGATTTTCAGTGGTGAGGAGGCCCAAACAAGGTGGTTCCGGAGCTTCCCAAAAAGCACAAAATGGGGGCCAAACAAGGCTAAAGAGGGTCAAACAACCCCACAGAGCTCAAAAAGCAACCTAACAACTATTTTAAGCAAGTAAAAATAAAGACTTTTATATGTATACACTAAGCTCAAAAAATAGATGCAAGGTAGGAAAAAAAAGACTATCCAAAAATGGGGTATTTCAGGTAAGTTCTCACCCTTGTGAATCCCCTTCAAGAACAGCGACTCCAGCTGCTTTTCCTTAGCTCAAAAACCAGCTTCAAAACTTCAAG